GCTCTAGTTCTAGCGACACCGAAGAGCCAACCACTATGGCTCTTGAAACAAGAACGCTGAGGGAGCTCACAGCTCCAAACCTCAACCAACAACCACTGTGTATTACCTTCCCTACACTTGATGAGGGTAATACGTTTGAGCTAAAATCTGGGCTCATTCATCTGCTTCCTTCATTCCATGGTCTACGGGGCGAGGACCCAAACAAACATCTCTCGGAATTCCATATTGTTTGCACAAGCATGTGCCCAAATGGAGTTACCGAGAAACAAATCAAGTTGAGAAACAAATCAAGTTGAAACAAGAACGCTGAGGGAGCTCACAGCTCCAAACCTCAACCAACAACCACTGTGTATTACCTTCCCTACACTTGATGAGGGTAATACGTTTGAGCTAAAATCTGGGCTCATTCATCTGCTTCCTTCATTCCATGGTCTACGGGGCGAGGACCCAAACAAACATCTCTCGGAATTCCATATTGTTTGCACAAGCATGTGCCCAAATGGAGTTACCGAGAAACAAATCAAGTTGAGGGCCTTTCCATTCTCATTCAAAGACACGGCTAGGGATTGGTTATTCTACCTCCCTTCAGGGAGTATAGATACATGGGCGTCGATGAAAAAATGCTTCCTAGAAAGGTACTACCCTGCATCCGTCTCATCATCTTTGAAAAAACAAATAAGCAACATCGAGCAAAAAGATGATGAGACATTATATGAGTATTGGGAGCCTTTTAAAAAATGGTGTGCTAGTTGCCCATATCATGGTTACACAGAGCAAGACCTCATCCTCTACTTCTATGACGGTCTAGCGGAGCAAGATAGACGCCTGGTGAACGCAGCATCTGGAGGGGGAATTGTCAACAAAACCCCTTCCCAAGCTAGGAACCTCATCTCGGAGTTGGCCGAGAATTCTAGACATTACAATGGGAGGTCATCATCAAAACGGGTCATGGCAGCGGAATCCAACACCTCGTTGGAAAGTCAAGTAGCCGGCTTGACTTCTTTGGTAAAGGATTTCCTTTTAAATCCCAAACACCAAGAGGTCAAGGTCTGCGGCATATGCTCAACACAGGGGCACCCCACCGATTCCTGCCCGACACTACAAGAAGAGAATTCCGAGCAAGTCAATGCTTTGGGATTTCAAGGCCAAAAGAGGTATGATCCACACTCTAACTCCTACAATCCTGGGTGGAGAGATCACCCGAATTTGAGATATGGAAACCCTCAAAGTCATCCCTTGCAACCAACTTTCCCAAATCACCAAGGCCACACGTCAAGCTCAAGTATGTCCACCGAAGACATGATCCGAGCACTCACCTCAAATGTCTCAACCATGCAACAAAACATGGTTCGATTTCAGCATGAGACCAAATTCAGCATTCAGAATTTGGAAAGCCAAGTCAGTCAAATTGCAAATGTCGTAAACCGACTTGAAACAAAGGACTCGGGTAAACTCCCATCTCAAACGGAGCAAAACCCGAGACAACATGTGAATGCTATAATGTTGAGAAGTGGAGCGACGTTGAAAGAGGTAGAAGAGAACGATGAAGAGATTGAGGGTGTGGACCCTGAAAAAGTAGTCCCACCGGAGGTGGAGATCACAGAAACCAAGCTTCCCCCACCCTCATCATATGAGCAAGTAATCCCGTTTCCTGAGGCGCTGAGGGAGACAAAGAAGCTAGAGAAAGATACTGACATCTATGAAACCTTCGCAAAGTGTGAGGTAAACATTCCGCTTCTTAACTTAATGAAAAATGTCCCTCGTTTTGCTAAATTTTTAAAAGAATTATGCAAAACAAAAAGAAAAGATAAATTGAAGGGGAAACAAGAGGTTATAGTTAGTGAACGCGTCTCGGCCATTTTTCAGAGAAAACTCCCTGAAAAATGTAACGACCCAGACATGTTCACTATCCCTTGCAAAATAGGAGACACCACATTTCCTAAGGCCTTGTTGGATTTAGGGGCATCAATAAATGTCATCCCCTATTCTGTTTATAAAACTCTACAACTTGGCCCATTACATCAAACCGGTGTAGTGATTCAACTGGCGGATCATTCTAGTACTTACTCGAAGGGTGTAGTAGAAGATGTGCTAGTAGAAGTAGAAAATATGGTTTTTTTGTTGACTTCTATGTCCTTGAAATGGGAATTGATGACCAAACAACACCCATCCTTTTGGGTAGACCCTTCATGAAGACCGCAAAAACGAAAATTGATGTTTCTAGTGGTTCATTAACTTTAGAGTTCGATGATCAAAAAGTGGAATTCAACATCTTGGACTCTACGAAAAAACAAATGCAAAATCTAACTCTTTGTTCTTTAAATGTTGTTGAACCACAAGAACCGGTATTTTTCAAAGAAGCGGATAAAATCAGACTTTTTCAAGAAGGAAAAAATAAACACGAGAAGCCATCTTTGATAGGAAGGGATGTGTTAAAATGTGAACCAAATCCCCCTATGATGGAGGTGGTAATGAGAAAGAAACCCCGGCCTTACTGGAAAAGGCCGAAAAATAAATTTGAAAAATGGCTAAATAAGGCCACAAAAAATGAATCAAGGGATGTTCACGATCCCACTTAAAAAATGAGAAAAAAATGAATAACGTCGTGCCACGACGTTAACTAAGGACCTTCTTGGGAGGCAACCCAAGTTTATTTTTAATAAATTCAAGTGTTTATAATTCATTTTTTGTCTAATTATTTGAGAGATCAGTGAGAGAGGGAACTAATCACGGGTTTTTGGAGGAAAAGAAGAAAAACAAAATGCAGGTTTTGGAGCATCTGGGGACATACCCGATCGAGTACCACCTTATACTCGATCGGGTATGGCCAAAAGAAGGGGAACCGGGCATTACTCGATCGAGGAAGCATGGATTTTTGAAAGAAAATAGACATACCCGATCGGGTATCACTATATACCCGGTCGAGTATGTACAGAAAGTCGAAGTACCAGGGAAACTGATGCCCATATTCGGTCGAGTACAGGGCTCGAAAATTGAAAAACAAGGGATACCCGATCGGGTATCACTGTACACCCGGTCGGGTATGTACAGAAATGATAAAGTTGAAGGAAACTGATTCCCACACTCGACCGAGTACATGCCTCAAAACGTAGAAAAGAACACATACCCGATCGAGTATGGAATGATACCCGATCGGGTACCGGAGGCAGAGCACTCAACAAATGCATTTTCCAGCAATACTCGACCGGGTAACAACACATACCCGATCGAGTACCAGAGACTCATCATGGTATGTAATTTTTATTTCCACCTAGCACTATGCATGTAATTCTTTTGAGCTTTTTTAAAAAAAACAAAAAAAAAGAGAATAAATAAAAGAAAATAAATGCTAGTTAGGTTGAAAACCTAACAAAATGGGCAATCTAAGAAAAAAAGGCTTATAAAAAAAATGAGTGAGTTGGGGAGAATGGAAAATGAAAAGAGATGCTAGGATGAAAACCTGAAAAGGCTCCTAGGCAAAATGAGAGATATGAGAGAAATATTTGTTTTTGCATGCACTCATTGTATCTCTCTGAAGAATAAGAAAATTCAGAAAACAAAGACAAAGAAGAAGAGAGGAGGAGAAGAGAAGATGAAACCCAAGTTGTTCTTTGTAATTTGAGTTAAAACTCATTTTTGTCATCCTTGGTGGTCTTTGTGTTTGTATGTTTTGTTGCTAAAACTGTAGAAACTCTTGAGAAACTTGACACTTGTGAACATTTGATCTTACTCGAGACGAGTAAAGGTTTAAGTGTGGGGGAGTTGATACATTTGTAATTTCCATATTTATGTTTGTGTTTTTAATTAGTTTTGCTTGATCTTTACTATGGAAATTACACACTTTTGGTGTAATAGATTAGTTTGTTAAATTCTTGTAAATAGTTTAGATTAGATATATTCTGAGCTCAAACAGGTCTTGATCACTCGAAGTACAGTTGGTGAACCCAAAGAGTGGAAAGAAGGTGCAAAAATTTGAAGACAAAAGAAGATCCTGAATTTTGGTCTATACTCGGTCGAGTATTAACTATACTCGATCAGGTTTTAGGTTGGAACTTCAAATCGGATCAGATCCGAAGACAAGAGAACATGCCGGGAGGATTTCGGCCACGATTTCATGTCTATACCCGATCGGGTAGACCGACATACCCGATCGGGTATGCCTTTGAATTTTAAGCAAAGATCGGTCGAGTATGGTACGAATACCACTTTCTAAGCATACTCGACCGGGTATAAACATATACCCGATCGGGTATACTTATGGAAAACAGCCTGAAACCGATCGAGTACACCTCGGATCGAGTATTACACACATACTCGATCGGGTACCATGTATATACCCGATCGAGTACCCGAATCCCATCCCAAAAGCCTATAAATACACATCCTTTCCTTCACAAAAAGATATCCAATTCCTTTGTACATCTAAGCTCAGTATAGAATAGTTCTTTCTTTATACTTTTCATCATGTTTAGTCTCCAAATGAGGAGCTAAACTCTTCCATCTTGGTTTTGCTACTTTGAAGCTTAATGAATTTGTAAGTTATGAGTTATATTCTTTAATATTCTTCGTTGAGTATTAATTAATTCCTATTCATATATCATGTTAATATCTTAAACATTACTTAAAGTATCAACTAGTATTGTTTCTCATATTAATTATTACTAGAATCAATCGGTTAATACGCTTGTTATTAATCCGGTTCTTTCAACGGTAGTAAACTCGGAATATTAATGCATGCATCTCATGGTTAATATGCCAAGGGGAATTAATTATATTGATTGAACCAATAAACCGCTTGTGTTGAGGTTATCAATCTCAATCGTTTTCATCTTAAGTTTATTGCTACTATCAAGTTAATATACGGCGCTTGTTCTATATTGACTCGATAGTAAGTTTTATTAATGAACACATCTCGTTATTAATAACTACCCTCGATGAACTGGATATACTCCTCGATTGAGTATTCGAGAGGGAGATAGTTAAAGATATAACCGGGATCGACGAACATTTCATTAAGTGGATAAAAGCAAAACCAAGTCCTCATCTCATTGAATTAAACTCATAAAGGTTGTTTATCTTAGTGTTTTTAAATCAAACAAATCTAAACCCCCTTGTTACTACTTATATAAAAGAAAAGTATTCCTTTCCCTGTGGATACGAACCTTACTACATTATACTACGTATTAGTGTCGTATTGATTAATTATTTTGAGTGCACCTCACGACAAGTGCACGTCACTTGTTGTAGAGCTCACAGTCAAGGATGGCTATCTGACTGTGGTCAGCCACCAATCTCCAGGAGTGCATGGGTTTCACTGCTTTGCATCACCAATATGCATACCGGATTTGGAACTAAGATTGTCCACCCCGGAGGCCTGTTGCTGTCAACCAGCTTTATTGGATGGTTTTCATCAGCCTGCTAAGAGCTGCCGACCTGAAGGAAGATATGAGAGGCTCTGGGATGAATCAGCCTCACCGGGAAGACACACCACTGACCTGTAATTCAGCCGACCTGGAAGCAACGCCTACTGCCTGGGGGCAGTTTAGGTGGAAGGTAAGCAAAGTCCACTCTCTAGAGCCATCGCCTGAAACCTCCACGACCCAGAAGGTATACATCTGCCCATCCGCGAGCGACGCCCGGCCTGGGGCGGCGAGTGATGTTCCGCTCGAGTTCATCCACTGGTCCGGGGAATCAATCGACCTGCTGCAATCCTGCTGCTACCGTTTATCGATCCACCTAGGAAGCTGTAATGGAAGTCACTGCCGCCCGGAAGCCATCACTACCTCGGAGTCGTCGCCACCTAAATGTTCTCCACCGACCTGGGGGGCTATCCGTCCGCCCTGGAGGTTAGGGTTGTGGTAGGAGATCAACAACCTGCTGGACGTCAGGCGAAGATGACGCCGGCCAGAGAGAAAGCTCATTCGACCTGCATGATTCATGGCGGACCTCTGGTCTGTTACAAAACGACGCCACCCACCTGCAGACCTGCAGCCATAACCTGCCAAGCTCTAATTCGTCCTGGATGAATCAAAGGAAATCAATCACAAGTATCACTGTGCTTACATCATCGCCGAGCTGTGAGTCGCCGTCTTCACCCCTTGGTAGCCGTCGCCTGCCATGACTGCCGACCTGATAGACGAATCCGTCCGATCTAAAAGAGCAAATCATGGCATTTGGTTGTCCATCCTATGAGGATTCTGTGAACCGAGACATGGATGCCATCACTTCGCAGCCCATGAGAGTAGCCGATTTGTCCGAGGAACAGGATGAGGTGCTAGGGATGAAGCACACATGCTTGGGCTTGGCTCTGTTTTCGGCCTGCGGTGCGTACTACCCGGTTTCAATGAAAGAGAAGAGTAAGGTAAACAAAAAAATCAAAAGTAAAAAATTAAACAACAACAATGAAATAAAAAAAAGGCATAGAAAAAACTTGGGTGTAAATTTGGGTGCCAACTCTAATGGAAGCCCACGACTCCCGAGCTCTTTCAAGTTGGCAGCTAACTTGAACTACTCCCTCTTAGCTGAGTCTACTACTCGACTAAGGGAGTGGGGGACTCGTGATGGGGTTACAGGACTGGCCCAGAGCCTAATCGGCCCAGGCCCCAAACTTGGACCAGCAAGCCCAGGCCTAGTGACCCAGAGCTCGAGTCGGCCCAACCGATCAGGCCCATCAAAGAGCGGAAGCCCAAGACGGCCTACCTTCCAGCCCGACCAGCAGCCTGCCTCCAGCCCATCTAGGAGCCTGCCTTGCAGCCCGGCCAGCAACCTGACTACAGCCCAGCAGAGAGCCTGCCTTGCAGCCCGGCCAGCAACCTGCCTACAGCCTAGCAGGGAGCCTGCCGTCCAGCCCAGTGGGGAGCCTGCCTTCCAGCCCTGCCAGGAGCCTGTCCTCCAGCCCAGTGGGGAGCCTGCCTTCCAGCTCAGTGGGGAGCTTGCCTACCGGCCCAACCGAAAGCCTGCCTTCCAGCCCAGCGGGGAGCCTGCTTACCGGCCCAACCGGAATCCTGCCTTTCGGCCTAACGAGGAGCCTTTCCTCCAGCCAGTGGGAAGCCTATCCTCCAGCCCAGCGGGGAGCTTGCCTTCCAACCCAGCGGAAGCCTGCCGCCCGAGGAGCTCAAGCGTTCTGCCTGCTAGCCAGCCAGGAAGAGTAACGACCAACAATCAATGCGCTATTAATTATGTATTTAATTTCGTATTAATGTTGTAATTAATTGAGTCATTATTATGTTCAGAAATTACCATTTGTAATCGCCTATAAAAGGCAATTTGAATTTCAAATACATATATGCTATTTCTGGCTACCAAATTCCCTTTGCAACTTTCCATATTCGTACTTTCCTAAATTCCTGCTTGAGTGTTCTTACGTAGCTTTTCTAAAAGCCTACGAGCGTCCTATTTTGGACCAACAATGACAAAAAAAAATCTTACTTCTAGTGTTAAAGAAAAATGTTTTTCACAAGTGTTATTCTTCACATAATGTTTGACTTTAATTTCGTGGTTTTCTCTACGCTTTTTCCACAGTGTGCCTCTCTTAATTTTCCACCCTATAACCTTTCATCATACTCACGTATGAGTTTAAAGTCCAAATATTGCTAAGCAATACTCTAATTAATTTTCTTGAATTTATGGAAGGAAGATTTCCTAAAATAGGAGTAAATGGAGTTTAAAATTCCAAAATAGGACTACTATGTTTTTATTCCCGAAATGGGATTAACATGACAGTATTTACTGTCATCTTGTAGGCGTGATTGTCAAATAGTTGCACTACAGTGCATTTAACATGACAATATTTATTATAATCAATGACAGTATTTTTTTTAATTATGACAGTATTTTTCATACATGGCAGTAAAAACTCCTATTTCGGAAAGAAAAACATAGTGGTCATATTTTAGAATTCCAAACCTCATTTACTCCTATTTTGGGTAATTTCCCAAAAGAATTTTGTAAAGCTGTATTGGATGATTATATTAATTTGGATTGGTTGTTCCATCATTTTCAATGGAGCCAACGGCTCATTGTTTTTTGATTTGAGAATATGATAGAATAAAACAAAATGGCTCAGTAAACTGTTCTGCGCTTCTTTGTTATGAAGCATCAGTTAGTCAATTCAATTTTTGACACGATTTTCATCATGAGTCATTCGGAAATAGTGTCTCTGTGATCTAGCACAAGGGTAACATTGCGTACATCTGATCCACCTTACCCCATCGTAAGTGAGTGCCTTTGCGCCATTGGGGTAATGTTGTTGTTGCTCTAATTTATATCAAGTTTTAAATTTGAATTATGAGATTTCTAAAACAGTAACTACAAGATACATAAATCACAGTATTAGAAGTACAAGTTTTTTTATGTTACTTGTGTACATTAATGTTTTTAAATTTAAATCTTGAATGTTGGTGGGATATAATTATTGAATTTTTCGAAGTTAATTTTTTTTTGTAATTCATATTTAGATTTTACTATCGGGATGGGGCTTCATATTTTGATTCTAAGCACATATATATACTTTGTGGGTATTAGGTTCAAATGACTGTAACTTTTTATGATGTTTTAAAATACTTGATTTGCGGTGCTAATTAATTTTTATTTTTACTTTTTAGGAGGTCAATGATTAAGTACAAAATCATTATTCTAGGATATATACTAATTTGGAAAAATAAAATTACTTTAATAAAACGGTTACCCGCGGGGAAAACCATTCAGCATTCTAATCGACAAAGTCTTGGTAAAAAAATACCCAATGGGTAACAAAGCAGTTTCGAGGAAAAAAGTTATCTAACGGGGCGGTTGGTGTACCCGGCCCAGAGCCTCCCTGTTGCCATCCCTAATGCCACATGCGATTGACTTTATTTTTACATTTTCAGGCTTTATCAGCCCATTTTCGGGGCTCCAAATGGCCTCATAATGACTTAACCATACATAATCAGCAATGGAGTTAGAGGGTGAGAGGGTAAATGCCCGTATACGACTCTGGAATTTATTATTAATATATCTATAAAATTAGCGTCTTTTTTTGCAAGAAAGGAAACTAACTCTCATTGATCAAATCAATGTCAAGAATACAAGAAATAAAAGGCGGTAGATCCCAAAACTAATAACAAGAATCAGACAAAGAACAAGCTGCTTTAGCGATGTTTTTTGTCCCGGTAGGCAAACCACCTAAGTCGGTGGGGTAAATGCCGGGGAACATTTACCAGGTTTTATTGATAATTAAATAAAAAATACAATGGAAAGGGGGACAAGACCAAAACCTTTCCTAGGAGGCATACCTCCCGTAAATACATCAATAAGGAAAGACAGCACTTGGGGGGACCAAACCTTACCCAATTGAAACAAAATACATTAAATAAGCCATCTAATAAAAGGAATGTTGAACAAATAAAAATTGAACTATATACGGACCGACCCGGAAGCAAGGCAGCTGAAGTCCATAAAAAAAACTAGGCCGGATGAATAGCAGCAAGGTAGTTGTCGGGCTGGCCTATTACCTTCCCTGAAGACATGTTTGAAGCTAATCTGTAAACTTTTACAGGAAGCACAGGTCAATTTGAAAGAACTATTTCGAATTGTGAGAAAGGGAAACGAGAGCATCAGGTCTCAAGAAAGAAGATGATACGAAGTTAGAAATTAGGTCTAAAGGATACAGTTCCTTTTTATATCTAATACTAAAAATAGAATAAAAGAATAGAAAGCTAAGGGCATGTTCACTAACACAGATATTTTCCTGTTTTCTACTTCTGTTTTTCATTCTCCAATTTTCTGTTTTTATTTTTCAGTTTTTTTATCTCCAGTTTTTTGTTTCTATTTTCTAGTTTTCCATTTTCAAATCTGAAAACATGTTCATCAATTTTTTCACCCAGTTCTGTGATCATCCAGAAGACTGACACGTCCGTTTACTTCACGGGTTACTAAACGGTGCTTATTAAGGCTCGCGTTAATAAGCGATGCATAAAATAAGCAATGTTATAAGATCATGTTTACTTCAAAAGGTTTAAAACACCGTTTAACATTAAAATGTCCAAAATAACCCTATACACATATATGCACACAAACATTCATGAACACTGTAAGGAATAAATGTATTTAGATTTTGATGATGCTAGGTTAATTAGGATTTGAAAGTACCCCTTTAGAAATTTTGTATTAGAATTTCTTTTGTAAGTTTTAGCTTAGTCTGTCTGCCAGAGAACCACCTTGCTTCTACCAGAGTTGCTCACCAGAGAAGCCATCAGAAACTGGTCATCAGAAAGATACCAGAGTTGGCAATAGAGGCGGACTTCAGAGATTGAACCAGAAAGCCTCATGAGACTCTGTCTAACACACCAGATTCCGAAAGCACTTTCCAACGGTCGTTAAACTAACGGGAAATCCCCTAACGGTTACGAACCTTTCAACGGAAACATGGTATTGTATACACATTAAATGCACATTTAATGCTGTACGTACGAAGAGATATTTAAAGCTGATGATTGACCATGCGAGTATCTTTACGCCCCCAAAATAGCAAGTCGAAGGTCCAACCGGTCAAGTCAACAGTACAAGCATTTAATGAAGCTGTCTTCTACACTCCAACGGGAAGACTGCTCCCAGTATATAAGATACACTCTGAAGAACTAAGAGAACAACTTTGCTACAACATCTGCCAAACGAACTTGCTCAAAGCCTTCTTGAGATTCAAACTTCATCCTTAACAAGAAAAGGCTACAGTTGGAAGATACATTTTCTTATCCCTCATCCAACTAGCAAGTTGCAAAGTTCCTCAGTTCTTCAACACTTCGAAATCCTTACCACCCTCCAGATCTGCCTCACCACAGAGATCATCACATCACTCTGCAGCCTCTACACCTAAAAAGAAACCAATCTTCAGAGTCCCCTCTTCAGATAGTGACAATGATGGTTTCCTCACCTCCTCCATTGCAGCTGATGAAACTTCTAAAAGGAGAAGGACACCTCCAAGAGTTCCTTCCCCTCCACCATCCACCAGAGCTCCTCCATTACCCAAGGGCAGAGGATTGGAGATGCCAGGGTTTACACCTGAAGAACCCCAGATTCCCTTCAACCAATTTGTGAAATCTGCAGAACAATTTGGTGGTCTGTTGGTTCATGATCTAAGCAAGATCATTGAGCTAAATGACAAGCATCATGAAGAGCTAACCCATACCAATCTTCAAATCACAATTGGATTCCAGCATTTGACAGACAAAGTTGCTGCACTGTCAGAAACTCTGCACAACTTCATGCATTCATCTACCCTGAGAATAGATTCTGTCTCCAGAGATGTCAGTGGTCTCAACTCTATTCTCCACTCTCACTCTCAAGCTCTACTTGCCCAGCACCAGACAATCAACCAGATCTCAGATTCTGTTAATAATCTTCAGAAATCTGCTGATAGCTCATCACAGAAACTCACAGTCTTACACTCCCTCTGCAAGGAGCATCAAGAGCAAGGCCTAGTTCTCATCAAGTCTGACAAGGAAAGATACCAGAAGATGGTTCTTCTAGAGGTCAGCACTAAGGATCTTCAATCTGCAGTCGACAGACAACAGAGCCTGATTAAAGGTCTTGCTTATGTGACTCAAACTCTGCCAGAAACTCTTGATGAGATCAGAGATGCCCAAGCCTCTGAGTTCTCAAAGATTGAGCTCCTCCTTGGCGATCTTTGTGATGCCAAAAAGGGGGAAGATACCAGAGAAGAGGAAGGACCTAGCACCAGAGCCCTGTCTATCAGAGAACCCTCCTCTACTATGGATCCTGCTCCATACTTCGATGCAACCAGAAAGAAGAGACTAGCTGCTGCAGGTACCAGACCTCCACCTCCTCCTCCAAGAAGCTCGAAGAAAAAGACTTCATCTTTTTCATTCAATGATTGGATGAAGAGCGGTATGTCAAGGCCAGACAGAGTTCAGTTTGAACAAATGAGAAAGCTGATGACTCCCCTTCAAAGAGAGAATCTGTTCATGGATAGTGATGGACTAGTCCAGATCAACCATGGTGGTTCTATCCAAGAAGCAGAAATGTGGTATGGAATGAAGATTCTCACTGGCAAGAACTCTGCAGAAGCTGTCAGAAACTATTTGGATTGCAAACTTGCACCCCATTGGGCTGACTATCAGAATCCAAGGGATCTAGCCTCAATCATAGCTAAGGTAAATGCAGAACTATAAAGGATTGACAGAGCAGGA